GGGCTGAATGAAAAGAAAGACAAAAATAGAGCAAGTGAGTAACTTAATTTTCCAGTCGTGTCAGCGTTAGCAGTTGCTGTCATAACTGCAGATGGGCACAGACTATAACACTATATACTCAACTCTGGGGGAAGTTCAGACCCTGGTGCTAATCCAAAATTCATGGCTTGATCCAATTACCCTAATGGACTCAAATTGGAATACCAGCTCTGAATGCCTGCAAATGGCATAGAAGTTTGATGTGGACTTGGCATGTTTCTTAATCAAAATATTAACAAATGCATTTCGCTAAAATTCCAGAATTGCTTCCAAATGTGTATACGTGTGGGTCAACTACCTAGCAGCATACCTCCATTGATTTTTTAGTTTATCAATCATTGATTTCAATGGCACTATCCTTATTTATTGCAGCTGGGGATCTGACACAAAACATTTTTGTAAAGTCCATTCATGGGCAATATATACATGCATGTGTGACTAATTTGGCAAATCCATATTCATGCACATCACTCTAATTGTGTAAGTAATCCCAATTGACTTCAAACTCCTTCCTTTTGACCTCAGTCGGACTACTCACATGACAAAGGAGCACTCCCTTAAGTAAGTGTTTGCAAGATCAAGCTCTGCCTTTCTGGAGCCTGATAATTCTACATGGCTGTCAGGAAGGAAGTGCCTTATTGAAAGGACTTTAGAGTTATTCAGTGGAATTCACCTCACAGAGCAAATGGAATTATAAGGTTCTTTTAACTTCTATATGTGCAACACAACAGTTGTGCTTGCATGAATAGGTTGGAAACACAGGGAAAGGTTTATAGGGGAAAGTAACAATTGCTGCCTGTGTGCTGAAAATCATGTAACCTTTGAACCCTATTGCTAAGGGTAAAAGAGATTGGTTTCTCACTAAACAATGAGTCCTAGGTATTGCGATCCTTTACTATCACAATTTTAACTATTTTATGTGATTTCAGTGTGCCCTGAACTTATTGAAAAAGTCTGGGATGGGGATAACTCCTCTGTTCAAACTGCTGCCCTGATGCTAAACAAGGGGTCACATGATTGTAACATGTGTAACTCCCACTTGCGGGTGGGAGAGACAAAAGACTAACCCATTCTCCCCCCATCCTCTGCTGGAGCAATAGTGAGGTTTCTACAGGGTGGGATATGGATGAGCAGTCCACTTGACCAATGACAAGCCAGGGCTGCACAGCCCCAGAAAAATAACTGGAGACAAGGCAGCCTGATTTTACACACAGAAAGTGTTTAGAGTTTGGAAGTGGGGAGAGAGAAAGCACTGGTGGGGAGGCCCTGATAAACTCCTACTCCCCCTCAAAGGGGTTGATGTTTCTCAAATACTCTGGCTATAGGGATCAGGTGGCTTCAGCACCCCTGTGACTAGATTCAGAGAGCGAGAGATCATGATATCGGGCCTGGCACTGGCCACCAATACCCAGCCAAGTCCCCAGGACGATTCCAAATAGGGAGCCGAGGTGGAGGCAGGAGAAAACTCTGCCCCATCCAGGAGTGAAGATAAAGTAAGGTAACTTTTGTTTATGCCAGCCAACACCACAGCAGTGCAACACTCCAACCTGAGACACATGTCCCTTGCCATACCATCCACATTGGGAGTGTGTTGTGGGGGAGCTGGGGCTGGAGGAAATTCAGAGTGTTAGGATGTGGGCAAATGGCTTATTTATAAATGTTGAATAGTTATTAGTTAACCTTAACCCGTTTCTCTTGTTTTTGTTTCTTTTCATTCAGTTTACGTTTAGTGCTTTCCATGTGTTCTACAATTGTCTGCCTTCAGACATAATCTACAGCCTTACTGCATACAGTACAGAACAGCACATTACCATCAGTGTGAAATTTGTCCTTGCCAAACTCAGTGACATGGTTTTTAGGGGCGATTTTTAAAGTTTTCAGCATCTGTTTATAACTTTAATTACTCATGTCTGGAAGCTGAAGTGAAATTTGAGATGCATTAATACATGAACCCCTATATGCCACTGAATAACCTCTATATGCCGGAAGCAGTTTATTGAAGTATATTTAGCTATGTAAATTTAAAGTGCATTCAAAAATCAACCACAAGAAGGGGAGGTTGCACACATTGAATAAGCGACACCGGTACTTTCAGTAAAAATGTAGTTAATGTATGTTTTTATTTTTTCACAAAATGTAAAAACTAAAGATTCTCTGTAAAAACATAAATTCCATGTTTTTCCTCAGCAAACAGCTTTCTAGGAACCCTGAATATTACTGCTTTCTCAAGGGCAGCAGCCCTGTATGTCTGACATGGTGAAGCGTCACTGACAGTGGAGGCAGAAGGTGCCAACAAAAAAAATCCAGAACCCGACCTGCATGATGAGATGGGAGAAGTTGCTACAAATATTAGTGATACCAAGCCCCAGGGAGAGAAAAGGGAGTAGGTTTAAGCCACACCTCGGAGAGTGGTTATGGATGGAGGCAATCAAACACAATCAGTTCACAACTTCTTACTCAGCCTGTTAGCAATGAGTTCAGTGCCACCTAGGGGGTGAAGCTGAAATGCAAGATGAGAAGCACTTGGCTTTCTGACTGGAGCAAAGGAAGCTGCTTACAGCCAGTCCTTTATAGTAACAAGAATCCCCAGTAACCCTACAGATGGACAGCCTAAGTGTTCTCATGCTGAGAAGGCTTGTGGGAGACTCATAGATAATGGATTATTCACCAGAGCTGAAAGCAAGGAGCAGCATTGCCCTGATACAGCACTCAAAGTGCTGGATGCCACCAGAATACCCAGGGAGGTAATAGCACCAGAAGGATCACCATCCCGGAGACAGCGATTTAGGAGGTGGTGAGTGTTGCGCCTGTGAGCATTGCACCTACAGATTTTAGTGCCAAAGCTACAGTCTTTCCCAGCACAGAAAGATTTGAAGCCAGGGAGTGTTCCTCTTTCACCCATGACTGACAGCTGGGGCCAGCTTGTGGGATATCTTGTGGAGAAGCGTGGCTCACCCTCCTGGATGGCAGCCACTGTAAGAGACTGAAGATATTTTCAGAGAAGTTGCTCATGCTTTTGGACGAAGAGGATTTTGAAAGTTGGATTGACCAGGCCACCGAAGTGGTCCCAGAGTGGCAATGCAGAAAAGATGGGGAGAGAGGATAGCAGAAAGCCATAGGGTCCTCAGAACCAGCAACTCTGGTGCCATGTACATTCCTAGTTGCCTTAGAGAGCACATATGGAACCACAGAGTAGTGAAGACCTGTACTTCTGGTTCAGGGATCTTAAATGACATCAGGAAGAAAAAATGCCTGAGTTCCTGATGAGATTTCAGCAGTTACTCGTGAGAGTAACTCTGAAGAAGGGTATCCAGCTGAAGAGGGTGAACCAAGCCCAAATTACCCAGGTGTCCAGGGGCACTCTCTTTGCTGACATCATATTCCTCAACCTACACGTGAACCACCCACCTTCCTGGCCCTATTTAAGGAAGTCAGAGAAGAAGAGAATAGGGAGGCAGTGAAGAAGGACCCTGTATTGCAGGCCAAAGCAGTAGCTCCCAAAAGTCCAGGAGAAGGAGTTAATCCTAGAGAAAAGGAAGGTAGCCATCCCTCATAGCTACTCTAACACTTGCAAATCATGTAGCTATGCCCCCAGAAAAGCAGAGATCACCACCTCCTACTGGGGGCAACAATCCTGTGATGTATTTGAAATGTGGGGAAATTGGGCATAAAGTTAGAAGACATCCTCAACTCAGGAACACAAGAGACTTCATTTGAAAGCTCCTACAACGTTGAGTGAATCAAGAAAACACCAGAGGGGACCAGTGAAGGAGTGTACTGCATACCGACTGAAGAACTACTCCTGCAGGGTTAATCTATCTGAGGCAATGACTACCCCAGAAAAGTAGCTGCCTAAAGACCTGGTAGGACCTGCCTCAGAAATTACAGTGAAGGTGGAAGGATACATCTTGGACAGGGTACTCTAAGTAATCATTATTTTCAGCTCCCTATCCGACAAGCTACTGATGTGGCACAGGTACATGCTTAGCCTAAGAGCTCAAGATAGAGTATATGCTCTATACAACTTTTCATCTCTTTCTTTTAATTAGATATTTTTAGATTTTTTAAAAAGATTCTATTAAGTATAATTGTGACAAATGCAGCTTCATCTGTCAAGAATTTCTATTTTATATAGAGGGAACTATCGGGAAACACAGATATTATCTCTAAGTTTGGGACTCAGTGAGATACTGACTTTGACTTCAGACTAACCACATTATCCAGAAAAGACATTCATGGAGTCTTAATTTGGCCTGAGACGTCATGAGCTATTTATACCTATTAAGTCAGCTGAATACAGCATCTTTTTGTATTGCAACATAAATTTGAGAAACACAGTCCTCTTCAAATGTGCAAAAGCAGAATTTGATGCACAGTTGGGTGTTGGGACAGCAGAAGGCAATCCAGTCTGTCTGTACTGGGAAAAGGAAGAGTCTTATGAAGATATCAAAGGGAGTTTCTCAGACAGGACAGAGGTTATTGGGGCTCAAATATTACAGTAATGGGTCATTTAAGCACCTTCCTCCTTTCATATCATTCATTTTGTTTTGAGAAGATTTTCTTTGTTTCTAATGAATCTGATTTTACTGAAGTTCCTTGTCATCTGAGACTGTTTGGGGAAATTCATGCAGTCTGTCATCTAATTCCATGTAAACCCTTCACACCTGAAAATACAGTGCGTACAATAGTTCACTGGCAAAAAATCAAGCAACGAACAGTACAAAAATGCGGTGGCCTATATTCCTCCAGGTCATTATACATTTCAACAAACAGATCCAAGTTTTAACACAAATATATATCCTGAAATAATTCCAAGCACAGAATACTTCTTAAAGTCAAATATAAGCTCTTTGGGGCTAGGTTTTCCTAGTGTTTGTACAGCTCCTTGCACAATTGAAGTCTGACCTAGAATGGAGTGGCTCTGGAGTACACCCACAGAAAAAAATAAATAATAAATGTTAACCAAGCAAGAGAATGCACTGCCAAGCATATTCATTAGGCATACAGGTGACCTCTTAGGGGCCAATCAGAACAATGTCAAGTCTGTCTTGTATTTCCTAGGAGACTAATCCATTAATGTATGTTTCTGCATGGGGTTGCATCTACTTATTTGGATGTTATCAGACTCAGTACATGAAGGAAAACTGCTTTCTACTTGAACTAACATTGTTTAGCACAGAAAGCAGAATCTGATGATTTTGTTTGAAACTTTGATATCCTATATACCTGCAAAGCCCCTTTAAAAATGACAGATATTTGATTCCAACATACTACAGCACGTGTCACTTCCATCAAGTGAAGCAAAGGCAATATGACAGGTGGTTTAAAATTCACACACAATTAGCCGTTTCTCTCCACAGGATTTGTCATTCCACTTTCCGCTTGAATAGACTTCTACACAGTCCTCAACACCTTTGTCATTATTTGGTTCGCCTGTTTGCCAGTTGGAATAAACAATGTTTTCTCCATTTAGATACTTGAAACGACCCTCTGTCTGAATATCATTTATCCCAAGAAACACTGGTTTGTTGTACAAAACAACTATCTGCTGGATGGCAGCATTCTCGGCGGCATTCCGAGGAGAAGCAAGCTGGCCTCCAGCTTGGGAACACCTTTGTTTCAGACTGTCAAAGTTGCCTTCATAGCCACTGGTCATGAATATCTTTTCACCGACAATTCTGCCATTCGGGAACATTATAACTAGAAAACAAAGAGATATCTCCACATTAGGCCTCTAGCGAAGTATGATTTGGTGAAGTCAACAGATTTATGGGGCTAGGTGGCAGAAATCAGTTAAAGTCCATTGATTTCAATGGAGTTATATCACTTTACACCAGCTGATGATCTGAACCATGGAGTCCATCACTGAAGTATAGTGATCCTTATTGCTACATGCTAAATTACAGACTAAACCCCCTTTCATCCAAAGCCCACAGATTCTATCCCTAAGGTCCCAATCCTAGAACCACTGAAATATTCAAAGAGAGGCATTTTCTGTGAGAGCGCCAAGATTTTGGAATTCACTCCTCACCTCTTGGCCTGAATTAGCTTCTATCTGTTCTGATCTTTAGGGCTTGCTGCAAATCCCAATCATTTTTTCCAGCACAGCTCACTGTGTGTTATAACCAGAAGACCTCCACCCACCCATCTCCCCCTGACATTCTCCCCCTTAGTATCCCATTAACATCTGGATATTTCAGCATCTCACCCTGATGTCCTTATGTTTCCTTTTATATCTTCATGTTTCTATCAGAACTGGAACTTTGCCACAATATGGTGACAAAGGCTATTCCTTCTGGATTTCTGGCAGAACCAACATTGGAAATACTAAAATGTGACAATGAAAAATTATTCTCACAGTATTTCCAGACAGGACCAAAATTTGACCCGGTTTGCCAGGACCAGAATTTCTCGAAGCCTGCTCTGGTGAGATTTCCATCCAGCTTTTGCAGACTTGAGATGTTTGGCTACACATTCAGGTTTTAGGTGTTTATCCAAACTGAACTCTGAACCTTTGGCGGTTTCCCCATCACTATCCTGGGATGTGTTCATTACAAGATATATTAAGAGCATCCGTTAAATACGCTGGCTATATTTTTAACTAGTCACATCTAGCTAGGAGAGCAACCTACATTAAAAGACCATACAAAAATGTAAGTCAGCATGATAAGGGCAGTACTTAGCAGCCAATGCATACAAATCTTGGAGCATATTGCTGTCTCAGGAGCTCTTCAGAAGATAGGAAGAAAGCATTGAAAAGTTTTACAGCCTGTAATTTAGCATCTTCTTTGCAGAGCTGAAAGTACATAGACATTCATCTGGGCCAGCGGTGCTCTGTGAGGGTTTGTATGCACTTGATGCACAGTCTTAGGCGTCAGTCTAAATCAAGCCTACGGCACATATTAGAACATCAGACTGCTATAATTTGTCTTAGACAGTGTTCCGATATTCAGCTTTCATTTACTAAATGTAACATCTTGATTGCTCTTGCTGGTAGAATGGCATTATCACAAATTAATATCACTTCAGGACAGTATGCCAAACATGATGCCAAACTCCTGCTTCTACCATGACAACCCACAAGCTTTGCATTCATTGGTGAACGGACTGAAAATGCACAGGTAACGAAGAAGTCCTAATGCCAGAATGCATCAATTTAATTTTCCAGATAAATGTTATCTTACAGCTCTTTTAATAATCTCCTCACACCCTTGTGAGCCCAGAGGACAGTTTTTCTCTTTATTTTTGCTAAGTTTCTCAAATATTTTTTGCTGGGTGGGCCAGATGTTAGTACAGAAGTTATCTTGTGGACACCGATTCTCCCATTTGTAATGGCTCACACTGCCTCCCTGCCATTATTAGTCACATGGGCCTCCTCCACTCCTATGTGACAGCATAAAATCCCTGCACCAGCTACAGCAATTGCTAACATTAGGCAAGTGTTTTATGCCTATTTTGCTGTTCTGAATGAGATTTAGCAGCTGGAAATAAAAGGGAGGAGCCAGCACCATGTGACAAGTCAACTCTCTACAAACCACCAGCAGCTGCTGCATGGACTTCTGTTTCAGAAATGGAAATTACCTACCTGTAACTGGAGGTTAGTTAAAGGTGTGGTCCCTATCTGTATTCCATATGAGGGTATGCATGTGCACCATGAATCTGAGACTGGAAAAATCTTGCAAGAAGTGTCCTTTGGTACCGTTGTGCCCTGGAGTTCCTTGTATACAGTAGCAAGGGTTTAAGGGGAGGTGTGGACTGATTGTTTCTCTGCTTTCTCCTCTACTGAGAATCCAGTCATAATCCAAACGAGAGGGGAAAGAGGGCAGGTAGTGGAACACACTGATCATTTGGTCAGTCGTTCAAGGGTGACCTGGTAAATACTGAGATTGAAGTCCCATAGTGGTGTCAGATTCACTACCTCGGAGGGTCCTAGTAAGACTCTTCAGGAATCTAATTGTTATTGGGTGGGTAAAAACAGAGTAACTCTCTCCCCAAGGCTGGAAGATATTGACTGCTGCTAGGTGGGCTCCCAGATAGCTAATGGAAAAGACCCGATGTCTTGAGAGTGAGGAGGTAGTTAAAAAAGCAGGAAAACCTACTGTCTCTGGCCACAACTAGTTTTGTTCTGCCAAGGTGGAGAAATCCCTCCATTTAACTAGAGAACATTTCTGATGGAGTCTTTTCAATTGTGATTAAGAACAGTTTGAAAAGCCTCCGAAGAACAATGCTCTAGGTCCGGCACCCATACAAATACCAGGCCATGAGGTGAAGAGAGACCAAGCTGGGATGGTTGATCCCATCATTCTCCTAAATTAGCAGATCTGGGAAGGGCTAAATGCTAATGAAAGGATGGACTGACATTTGCTGGAGGTCCAGAAACCAGAATTGCCTAGGCCAGCTGGGTGCCAGCAGGTGCCGACTTTGCAGCTTGTTAGTCAGAGCTCAATTTGGATTCCTTCCTGTGAGACAAGATCTAGAAGGGGATCTGGTCCAGTGTTAGTGAGAGTGCCCCTTATTCTCATGAAAGGCCCTAGATAATGAGTCCTTGGACTTAACAGTTTTGGCCTCTGTTCTGGAGCTCATGATTAGAGAGGAAATGGTCGTGGACTGAGGCCAACCTACTGGGGGTAAGGGTGGGGGCGTGTCTCTGCCTGGTTCTGACTAGGGTCTCATGGCTTTCTCCATGAGCTACTTCCTCAGTCAAAACTCTCATCTATCTCAGGATCAGGGAGGGAAGGAACTGCGGATTGGTGCTTGGTGGAGATGAGTCTCCCTAAGGCAGTATGAGCTGCCAATGGGATGCAGCCTTGAAAAAGGCTAATGCAGTTCTAGGATGCATCAGGCAAGGTATTTCCAGTAAGGACGGTCAAGTGTTAGTACCGTTATACAAAGCATTGGTGAGACCTCATCTGGAATACTGTGTGCAATTCTGGTCTCCCATGGTTAAGAAAGATGAATTCATACTGGAAAAGGTGCAAAGACGGGTTAGCTGGATGATCAGATGAATGGAAAACCTTCCTTAGGGGAGGAGAATCAAAGAGTTTGGCTTGTTTAGCCAAACCAAACAATGGCTGAGGGGAGATATGATAGCGCTCTATAAATACATCAGAGGGATAAATAACAGGGAATGAGAGGAGTTATTTAAGATAAACGCCAATGTGGACACAAGAACAAATGGATATAAACTGGCCATCAACAAGGTAAGGCTTGAAATTAGATGAAGGTTCTAAGCATCAGAGAAGTGAAGTTCTGGAACAGCCTTCCAAGGGGAGCAGTGGAGCCGAAAAAACTAACGGATTCAAAACTGAGCTTGATAAGTTTATGGAGGGGATGGTATGCTGAGACTGCCTATAATGGCATATAGACGATCTGCTAGCAGAAAATATCTCTAATGGCTGGTGGTGGGACACTAGAAGGGGAGGGTTCTGAGTAACTACAGAGAATTCTTTCCAAGGTGTCTGGCTCAGTGGGTCTAACTGATCGTCATATTTGGGGATGGAAAGGAATTTCCCACCGGGTCAGATTGGCACAGACCCTGGGGTTTTTCTCCCTTCCTCTGCAGCCTAGGGCATGGGTCACTTACAGGCTTAAACTAGAGTAAGTGGCAGATTCACTGTAACTTGAAGTCTTTAAATCATGATTTGACGACTTCAGTAACTCAGCCAGATGTTAGGGGTCTATTTCAGAAATGGGTGAGTTTCCGTGGCCTGCAATGTGCAGGAGGTCAGACTAGATGATCCTGATGATCCCCTCTGGCCTTAAAGGCTATGAATAGGGTCCTACCAAATTCACAGTCATGAAAAATGCAGCACACTGAAATCTCCCCCTGTGAAATCTGGTGTTTTGTGTGCTTTTACTGTATTCTATACTTTTACCGTATACTACACAGATTTCACAGGGGAGACCAGCGTTTCTCAAATTGGGGGTCCTAACCCAAAACGGAGTTGCAGGGGGGTGACCAGGTTAATTTAGGAGGGGTTGTAGCATTGCTACCCTTACTTCTGCGCTGTCTTCAGAGCTGGGTGGCTAGAGAGTGGCGGCTGGTGGCCAGACGCTCAGCTCTGAAGGCAGCACCCTGCCAGCAGCAGCACAGAAGCAAGGATGGCAATACCATACCATGTCATCCTTACTTCAGCACTGCTGCCTTCAGAGCTGGGTGGTCGGAGAGTGACAGCTGCTGACTGGTGCCCAGCTCTGCAGGCAGCAGCGCAGAAGGGTGGCAATACCATACCATGCCATCCTTATTTCTGTGCTGCTGCTGCTGGTGGGCTCCCAGCCAGCAGCCACTGCTCTCCAGCTGCCCAGCTCTGAAGGCAGCGCGGCCGCCTGCAGAAGCGCAGAAGTAAGGGTAACAGTACCGCAACCTCCCCCTCCCCCCAATGGCTGCCCAGAGAATTCAGTGGGCCTGGGGCAAAGCAATTTTGAGTGACCCTTCCTTAAAAAAAAAGTTGCAATACTATAGAATACTGTATTCTCAGGGCCCCTGCAGAGCCCAGGGCAAATGGGCCACTTGCCCCCCCCTCTTGGTGGCCCTGTCCCGCCCCCCCCACAATAACCTTGTGACCCCTCCCACAACTCCTTTTTGGGTCAGGATCCCTACAACACCTTGAACTTTCAGAGTTAAATACCTGAAATCATGAAATTTATGATTTTTTAAATGCTATGACCGTGAAATTGACCAAAATGGACAGTGAATTTGGTAGAGCCCTATCTATGAGTCAAGGCAGCACTGGTGCTCATCACTGACCAAGAAGGAGAACACGCAGGATAGACACTTGTTAAACTCCAGAACTCCCAAGGGGGAGAAACAGGAAGGGTCCCAAAGGCAGGGAAAACTAATCTACACTAACTATAAAGAGACTATTTAAAATGCCAGACTAACAACTGTCTACAATTATATTTACAGACTGTGCAAAGATATCATCAGACACAGAGGACTCCAACTCTGGCCATGCAGTGGTAAGAAGGAACTGGAGAGGCAGGTCAGTCTGAATTGCCCCTTATAGTCTTGGTATGGAGCACAAGGAGCTCCAGAGCACAGACACAGCTGAACAGACATTACTGACAAGATTTTCAGGTCTCAGGCGCATGATGCACATCTGAGGTGTGGACTACACATAGGGCTCAGCACTCGAAGAAAAACTCCTAGTATAAATGGTCTCAGGCTAGCCAAACACACACTGGTGGATACAATTAGCAAACACATGATTTGCAGAGGATTCTAGTTTTTGGAGTTAAATTACTAGAGCTGGACAGAGAAAGGTTTCCCCAGAGGATTTCATTAATTTAAATGTTGGCTTCACTCTGATTCAGAACAAAACCTCAAAATTTCCAAATTCTCCCCAAAGGGGAATGGAGGCCAGGCTCAGTAGGTAGTCAGCCTGGCGGGCTGCCCCTGAGCTGTGGACGCAGGAAGCCCTACGCAGCACAGCTCCAGGGCAGCCCACCATGGGAATCCAGGCGGCTGAGGAGCCAGGAGCTTGGCACTCAGGACCCCAAGTGCTTCCAAGCTCCCGACTCCCTGTGACTCCACCACGGGGGTTGCTGTGGAGCCAGGTAGGTGAGCTGGCAGGAAACTAGGCAGGTTTGGTTCTATCAGAACTTCATTGAAAAGTAACAAGTTTTTGATTCCAATGAAAGAAGGTTTCACTGGAATATTTCAGACCAACTCTATTAATTACCTTGGCAGTAGGCCTGGCCTATATACAAAGATCCACCAGTTTAACTAAAGGTGTATTTTTAAACCAGTTTAGTTAAATGAGTGTAGACACTCTTCATTTGATTTAAAGCTGGCTTAGTCAGCTCTATTTGATTCCTTGATGATTTAAACTTAAATTGATATAATCCAGTGTATAATCAATTTGAGAGTGTTCACACAGGAGTTTTCACCAGTTTAACTAAGTCGAATCCAGTTTAATGAAAGTGGCACACCTTTTATGCGAAGAACAGCCCTTTTCCACATAGGGCCTGATCTTGTGAGGAGACCAGTGCTTACAGAGAGATGCTCAGTGTCTGTAACTGGATTCAGTGAGATCTGAGGGTACTTGGGATCACCCCAGAGAATTCATCTCTCATTGGATTGGGCCTTTGTACTGTCTTTGGGGCAGAGAATGTGCTCTGCTCTATATTTTATAAAGTATCACATAAGTCTGAGGCATTGTATAATTCATTAATAATGAAAATGAACAAAACCACTGTTTAATGCATCAGACTACAAATCATAGAATCATAGAATCATAGAATCATAGAATATCAGAGTTGGAAGGGACCTCAA